ATTCATGATGCATTCATTTTGGCAAGAGGACTATCAGTTAAAACTTTTTTTCTTGAAGATCATGCTAATACAGCAAAACTTACCTACCTCTGGTAAACTCTGTACTGACCGAGATGGGCAAATATGGTTTTGTACATGGTTATAGATAGGGAGCTACTTAGTTTGTGGTTTTCCAGAAACTGCAAAATCCAGAATTGTCTGAAAACAACAACCAAAAAAATCCCCCTTAAAATAGTGATTCCCTAGGGGGAGCTAGTGGTTCTTGCTGCTGGGAGGGGAAGGCGCTAGTTGGCAGAGCAGCATGAAGAGCAGCAGACAAGATGTCTGCTCCTCGCACCTCCTCTCCCTGCCAGGGCCTCTCCACCAGTCTGTACTGAGGAGCAATGTGGCACAAAGGGCAGCCAAGAGTCAAGATGATGGCCACTAGGGCTGTGCAAAGCTTCAGTACTCAGTTAGATTCAGAGGAGATTTGGCCTGATTCAGGGACCAAATCTCCACATTGAACCTGGAGACCAATTAAAAGCTCCGACTTGATTCAAAGCATCCAAATCGATTCGGCCATAGACTAAACAGGCAGCTGCCTCCGGCTGGTAAGTCTGTTACAGTTGGGGGAGGGGGAGGGAGGGATTGGGACAAGCTGCCCAGCCGGGGGGAGGGCGGGGATGGGGGTGTTTGGGGACAAGCGGCAGCAGGGCATAACCCCCGCTCCCAGTACAGCCGTGCCTGCATCAGCACTGGGAGTGGGGGCTCTGCTGTGCCACTGCTTGCCAGCTGGCGCAAAAGGGCACTGGATGTGGGTGTGGAGGCTATGCCCTGCTGCTGCTTGCACCCTTCCTCCTGAAGCGAGCTGTGCCATGGCTGGGCAAGTGGCAGCAGGGCAGAGCCCCTGCTCTGAGTGCTGCCATGCCCCAACAAATTTACCAGCTTGAGGCAGCCATGTCAGTTGCCTGTTTAGTCTATGGCCGAATCTCCTAAGTGGCGCCAAATCTTTCAGATCCGATTTAGCTGAATCAGATTGGGACAGTGATTCAAATCTCTGAATCAAATTGCTGTCCTCTGAACGGGCCAAAAACAAAATGAATACTTGCCACTTCACACAGGCCTAGTGGCCAACCCCTTATCCCTCCTTCCACCCCTGGGATCTCTCTGCCAATCCAGTGCCAAGGGGTGGGGCCACCACAGAA